GAAAACTAGGTGAAACTGGATGAACTGGGACGACAACATATCAGGGCTGCATGGCGAAGGCCATTGCTGGTAGGCTACTAAATTGATAAGGTGATGAATTTGGAAGATATGGATGGACAAGGCAAGGGCTGAAGGAAAACGCAGGGCAACTTCAAGACAAAGAAACCTGTAGTTTTACCTTTATTTTGGAAGAAATTGAATTAAGCAAAAAACATGTTTCTGGAAGCCCTCGCATTATGGATCACTGCACTCCAGGAGTTAACCAGTGAAAGATCACCCTACACTTCTTTTCCCATAGACTGCAGTACATTTCCACTATGGCCACTGCTGCAGAGAAGTTGCGGCTGTAGATGGGCTTCCGGTCTGATGTGATATGGCCTGTGTTTAGACTGGGTTTTATTTCTGCTTCTCTGATGGTATTCATGGACAGAGCAAAACAGATCACTGAGCAATTGATAGAAGGTGATTTTTTTTCGTGCAGATTCTCAGTACCTGTGTTCTTCTCACTGTCTCACTGCCAGTTTCCCTCCCCTGAGCCCTGGCTCTGAAGGTGTAGAACGCTTCCAGCTTTGACCAAAGTCGGTGCACAAAATACACTCTGCAGTTTTCAGACACTGCTTCACATAAACAAAGGACATGAGCATCACCTTCTGCTGGTCCTAGATAGGTACCAGCCCTGATCACTTTGCCTTGGCGGTCCGTCAGCTGAACAGAGCTTGCCCTACCTCTCCGCAGAGATGCTGAGTGAGATGCAGAGGTGTTCTCCTCGGAGAAATAAACACTGTGAAACCGGCTGATCATGCAGTCACTGTTGTGTCAGTGTGCAAGGTACGCCCAAGAGGAAAGGTTAATTCTGTACGGAGTACAGTTTGAGTCAGGAGCCAAAAGTAACGCATTTTAGATATCTGTTCATGCAGTTAGTCCTGTTCAACGAAGCAAGAGGCCAGCGAGGAGAGTACAGCAGCCACAAGAATCAATTCTACTGATAAAGCAGTGATTTTTTAAAAATGTATTTCTGGTTGCACAAGTAAACTCCGATTGATTCTGTGGATGAGTTCATTAAAGAGATGCACAGGTACCTCACGAGCTTGCTCCTGGGTGTGTTCTTTCAACATAAAAAGGCACATCCTTTGGGCAATCCACCACACAGTGTGTGGCTTGTCGTTCAGCATTGGCTTTGATTTACATTTTGCTTTTGCCGTTAGAAAATAATTTCTTGTGCTAGGCTGGGGGGTAATACACTCATCCACAAATTGTCAGCCCTTCTCAGCTGCCAAGGACGTGAAATCCTTGGAAACAGTGATTCCGTCCCACTCCAGCAGCATCCCGTCTTCACCTCCCGCCACCCCTGAACTAGCGCACCTCTTCGGGCTTGGTGGTGCGTGTCACCCCCCACCCCCAGACATCAACATCAACGTCAGCGGCAGGGTGAGGGCCTCCTCACAACAG